ATTAATATTAAATATTTAATATAATTAACTTTCAAAATGAACTGTCATACTGTTAGTGGCCAGTGTTCTGGTAAGGTTTTACTTTTTATGGAGGCATAAATTTGAGGATCTTGTGGCACTGTCTCAAGTAGAAACAAAACTTGTGCATTCCAAAATGACTTCCACTTAAAATTAAATTTACTCCCATTAGAAGGAATTCCAAAGTAAGAATAGAGCAAAAAGATACTGAAATTATCAAGTCGAAGATCACATGTTGATATGATAAAACAGTGGACCCTCATGATGCAAAAAAAAAAAAAAAAAAATTGTTGTAAAATTGAATGCTTGATTCTGGGACAGTGGAGTACATTTAAAAAGAGCTTGCTACACTTCTGCATGCTTGAGTAATGTTTTTGAATGAGTGAGGTAGGTCTTGAAGGAATAATTTGGGCATTTTCCCAGGGAATTTGGAGAAGATATTTCTCTTCTGAAACTTAAGACAGTTTGAGTGAAACATTTAAGAATAAGCTGACATAAGGAAAACGTTCTCTCAACAGCGATACGTGGGTGGCTTTCCACGAAGCATGGAAGGTTTTGTCACTCTAGATGAGGTTGGTGATGAAGAAGACTCGGATCATCAAAAACTCCGCAAGTCGGGTTTGGCAGTAAAATCTGCTGGCAAAAACGATGATAGTTTGGCGGAAATCAAGGTAGACAAGATTGAGGAGCCAGAGCAGGAAAATGAAACGTTAGAAAATGGAACCAAAACCGAAGATAATTCGAAGGCTGAAACTGTTGAAGCTTCTGATACCACAACAGCACAGGATACTGAGAAAAATGCCCATGAAAATACAGACACACCAGATGAACCAGAAACAAAGAGCGTCCAAGAGAAATCTCTTGTTCCGGATGAATTCAGGATTGGGCCATACCAGCCAAACATTCCTGTTGGTAAGGCCGTTTCCATTTCTTTTCAGATATGTCTCTGTGCATTGCAGTAGCATTTCTCATTTCGTTTGACTTTTATTTCTGGCAACACATTGCCTCTGAGCCTTTCATTTTAGGGCTTCCCACTTTTCTCCCCTTCTTCACTCCTTCCCTAACCCTAGAATTTTCTTTTCTTTTTTTTTTTTTCCCCTTATTTTCATACAGTTCTCCATAACGCTTTCCTTAGGCAGAGATTAAATTGGAAGAGGTATATTTTAGCAACACAAATTCAATTAATAGCACAAATCACGATAGTGGTATTAGTTTAGATTCATACTAAATACTCAGAACTCAGGAACTGATCATAGAACATTGTTAGTTCTTTTGAAGGAACCAATAAAATGGACCCTTAATCTTGAAAGGTTGATATTAACTTTAAAAAAAAAATAGCCTGCACATATTTAGTTATTACTAGGCCCCGGCTTGACTAAACTAAAAAAAGACTTCTAAAGATAAAGCAGCTTTTAATGTAAAGTGAATTATGGTTTTAAGATTTAGCTGAAATGACATATGACATTAAAAGAAATGATGTAGAGTAGATCTCTTAGTTTATTTTGTGGTGTTTACTTCTCTAGGTGTGAATTATGTGGTACCCAAAACAGGGTTTTATTGCAAATTGTGTTCCCTGTTCTACACAAATGAAGATGTTGCAAAAAAGACCCATTGCAGCAGCCTTCCTCATTATCAAAAGTTGAAGGTAAGGCAAAAACTTGTTCATTTTAAATGGCGTGATTCTTTCCTGGGGAATAGATCTGATCGAGACTGGACTGAGGAAAAAGCTTTAAGGCAGTGGAAATTGGCTTATTCTATAACTTTTAACTCAAGCTAGACCTCTCCAAAACTTCATCTTTTGAAGATAATATGCAGAATACACATTTTTAAAGATGGGCTCCAGCATTTTCTTTTCTTAAAAAATTTGGATTAAAGAGGGCATTCTGATTGGAGTAAAGGCCAGGCTTAGGTAGTGGTGCAGAGTAAATACAGGTGATTCAAATCCCTTCCAGTTGTCCCTTTGAGAGTATTTTTAACCAATCAACAGAGCTTAAGCTGAAGATTTTTATATATTAAAGAAAAAAAATTTGCAACTTCTGATTTTGTGAGCATGTTTTACAATTTCAAATTGGATTAGGTATCACATGATTGCATGGCATGAATGATAAATGCTGCTGCTGTATCTTTGCGTACTGTGAGCTGCTTTTAAATATCACCTCTGAGAAAGGAAAAGCCTAAACAAAATTCTAATAATAATGCAGTGTTCATGTAAATTGATTTCATACCAGTTGATTATTGAGCTGAAAACAAACCCTGGGGTTCCATAGAAAGGAAGAAGGTGGTGTCTCAGACTCATTAAAACATTTGCTTTCTCCCTTGCAGTAATAGGGAACCTTAAATAAATACAGGGCCCTGGAGGGCAGATGGCACAACTAAATGTCATGAAGCAAACAACATTATCAAGGAGTAGATCAGAAAATCAATTACCGTGCAGAATGTTGTAGTAAGAAAAACCCACCTCATCCATCACCCATAGCTTTTTTCTTTTTTTTTTTCCATTGAGGTACCTGATTATGGGACTTTAAAGACTTGATGTAAAAGGGGACATGGGGGAAATAATCCCAACTTATTAACTTTATCACTTAAATGACACATGATTTGATTTGCTTTTTCCATGGCACAAATTATTAGCGAGCTGCTCTTGAATGACTTTGTAACATTGGCGTGGTTTTAGAATCGGGGAAGGAAAGGGGGAAGAGCAGCTTTTGTTTCACAATGGTAAGGCACTTCTCTGGCTGGAAGTCTCATTCACTTGGAGAGCAGTAAGAGTAAATAGATGAATTGATATGGCTACCAAATGTCATCAATGTGATAACAAATTCCTCAAACTTCCAAAAATAACCCTTCTAGAGAAGGCGAGATGTTTTGAAGGCGAGATGTTTCTAGAGAGGCGAGATGTTTTGTCCCTAGCTTTGTAGAAGGCAACTTCTGACCAGGTAAGTGGCACAACTGCTGTCACAAGTCCATGACAAAATGGAAAGTAATTGGCTTGCTGGCCTATTAGGAAGACATCAACGGCAGGGCTGGGTGAAGGCATGCAGAGGCTGCCATTTGGTGATTACTGGTGGTCAACCGTACAGTCGGTGACGTAATGATAACGCAGTGCTTCAGAGGAGCTCCGCTTCAGTATGTGGAGAAGTGCCAGTCTTGTTAGTTATGACCTTTGCAGTTAATATTCACAGATTTTACGACTTGAAAACTGGATTTATGTTTTGATTCTTGATGTTGTGACTGTGAAGAACCTCTTTAAATATATCCAAAATATGATTGCTTTCTTTTAACAGAAAATTCTGGATAAAATGGCAGAAGAGCACAGGCAAAAGAAAGACGCTTAAAAGGAAGGAAGGATGTAAGGAAAACAGTGGCTTTGTTTTTAATGTTAATCTTTTTTTTTAAAGCAGTACAAGTAGTAGATGGAAATACTGTATTCTTTTTTTGGTTTAGTGAAATACAGTAGGCATTATAGGTCTGTTCATGTGTTAAATGTTGTAGCAAAAAGCATATGCAGTTAAGTTAATGACAAAATATTGTTCTTAATGTGAGAATGGCAACAAGTTTTTGTTCTGACACTTCAAGTTATTAAAGAAAAAATCTTGCACCCTTGTGGAAAGCTCATCTATGGGAAGAAAACTTCATTTAAGTGAAATTTACTACTTTCAAGCTTTAGAAATTGTCTTTCAATTCCATTCTCAATAAAAAATAAAAAGTAACACTGTACTTTTATTTTATCTAGAACATTCCATATTTCAGTCTGAGCCTAGCAGATATTTAATTTGGAGTGTAAGGCTGTCATTGCATTTCACTTTTGAAAAGTCTTTAAATGTAAGTTGCATTTTTAAATGTTGAATTGCAGTTTCTTTTAATGTCATTGCTGTTATATAGCAAATAGGAAAATTAGTGATTAGTCAGCTTTACAACTTCGTGATTTTTTTCCTAAGCTCTTGATAGACTTTCCTGTTCAGCTATTCTGTGTATTTTTAGTGAAACGTAAATGCCCATTCTACTCTGAGCAGTATTATTTCCTTGAGCTCTTCCTGCTTTTACTTGAATCTTGTAGCTGTCGTACATCTCTAGTATATTCAAAAGCAGCATTTGAGTCTTGAAATGTAAAAAGGTATCTTTATATTCTTCACATGTAATTTTTCATACCTGCATTTTAAAACCGTTTTTGTTAAAATCTGGTTTCGTCAAAGGTCTTTAGAACTGTGCTCTTAATGTACCTGCACATGTGATATGTGAACAGGAACTTGCATGTGTAACCTGTGTTTCTGTAGTTTTTGTTATTTACTGCTTATTTGTGAATTCAGGTTACTAAAGTGATTTACCAATAAACAAAGCTAGGCAACAGTTTGTTATAGATGTTTGGCATGTTAACCGATGTGTCTGCTGAACTCCTTACTCTTGTGTTCATGATGCCACACAAACTTGAGTGCTTTTTAAAAATTTGCATGTCTTAACACCTGTGATTTAGAAGCTTACTGCATAACTTTTCTTTCTCTTTCCTAAAACCTCTTTCACTTCCAAACAAATTAAAATATCACGTGTTAAAACACTGGTAGGCATATTCTGCTGACAGTTTTATTGCTTGAGTTTTATGGTATTTTCATCAAAGCTGAAGTTCAAGCTGCATCATGTTCATGTGGATTAAAATGACTAGGGACAGTTCTTTCAACCTGAGCCTCTTGGGTAACAGAGAGGCTTCAGTGCTGCGAAAGGTTTTCAAATGTAGGAGGCAGAATCTTGATTAAGTTAATTTACATAAGCAAATATGTCTAGCAGACACAAGGTGGTGTGTTTTGTGGAAGTAAAGTCTTGATAACTTGTTTTTCCAGTTGTAACTTTCTGCTGTTGCATCCTCAAAAAGGGGAGGTGTGCAATCCCTTTTGTGCAAGAATTAAGTATAACTTCAAACATCTTCTACTGTGCTGGTAGCAGTTTCTCTGAGGACTTTGTATAGAGTGGTGAAATGCTAAGAAGCAGCTAATGGTGCAGATTTAAGTAGTGTATCCATATTATAAAATCTTAACCATGCAGTAACTCATTCTTGCACTTTCACAAAGATAAGTTACTGCTTTGTACATGGTGCTCAGTATGTAAAATTTTCTTTGTATGAAATGGGTTAAATGTAATGCAGGGATTTAGTCTTAAAACTACTCTACAGCTTTCCTAGGCCCCTGAAAGAAAGTGCAAGCAATACTTCTCTTGACTAAGTCACAAGGATGTACTTGGACCCCCACTTGCTTATGATGACATCTGTCATTCGTCTGTCTCTTAAGAGGCTGCTGAATTCATCAGCCAAGGAGAGGACCTGACTTCAAAGCAGTCATTCCATGTTTGGCAGTCATCCCCCTTCTCTCTAAAGATGGTAGATAAGAATTTATTTTGAAGGTCTCTACCTTCCCCCAAGCATTTTAGCAGTTAGCTGTGCACGTTGTAAGGAAACAAAGGTTAATATATTAAAATAACTACATCTCTGTATGTTTTATTTTTAAAGTAGTTTTTCTGTAGCTACTGCCTGCATTTTAAATAGCTGTGCAGTTTGGTCATCTTGCACCTATAGTGTCCTCAGCGGGTTGTAAATGCTAACCTGTGTAACTGCTTGGGATTAAACTGTAGCAGGGTGTTACATCATGTCTAGCATCTAAACATAAAGAAGTCCCAGGAGTAAAGTAGCTGCAGCATAGTCCAAATTCAGAATCAAAAAATCCCTTGCTCCCATCAACTCTGTTTCTGGTTTCAGCAGATGTTAGATGCATTCAAAACACTGATAAGCTATAAGTAAATCTCCACACTTGTACATGTGCAACATAATGCTTTCTTCTATATATCAGAAAATAAGTGAAACCTAATCTGCTTCTGCAAAATGTCTTCTGTTTCCATGCAAAGCACTGGGAGAATAATGCAAGCCTTGTACTAATTTCTGAGGAAAAAAAGGCATCATAATAACTTGGATCTTGAGGACAGATACCAGGAACACACTTGGATGGCAAATTGATTATGTGGTTTTTGCTGTGGGCTGCTTACGCTTTGGATATAATTGTATCTGCACTGTAAAGGGGTAAGGGGAAGTCACGTAGAGTGTGAGACTAGAGTGTGACATACTAGATGTAGGCTCTGCAATTTAGATGCCAGCCTTCCATACATGAATTTCAACTCGGAAGAGTAATCCTGGAGGCTGTTGCTTTTTTGCCATGTGCATAGTTCAGCAGAGGTGCAGCAAGGCCCTGGGCTTGCTGAATGCAGTGGGAGGAAGAAAGAGAAGCCACCATTATAGATGAGGAGGCCACATGCCTAGCTGGATTTATTAAAATTGAGTTGGAAATAGTTATGGAAGTAAGAGCCAGAGTAGAGTGTTTTTTTTTTTTTTTAAGGATGATCCTTGCAGGCATATTTTCCAGTTGAACTTGGCTAGAAGGTAAGCATTTAGTGAGCGTGTGACAAGCCATATGAAAGCTTTTAGGCTGTGGAAACAAGTTAGTAATGGTGACTAATAAAATCAATTTAAACAGCTTGATTCAGGGAGAATCAGTCCCCAGTTAATCTGAGAAAACCTAGACTTTCTGCAGAGTTAGTTATTCCTTACTAAAATTCAGGAGGAGGAAGGAAGGAAGTGCTGAGCAGAGAAATGTTAATGAAACTGTTATCCTCAAATAGCCCCTTTCCTGCTTACAAGCGGCCTACGCAAGCGTTTTGATAGCAGAGGAGCCTTTCCAGCCTAACAGGTGGTGTAATGCAAAGAGCTAAGCTGAGCAGGTTGGTTCTCGAGCCTGAGAAAACCTGTTTGCCTATGGTAACTTTTTAACCACTAATGGATTTCAGGGTTAACCAAGATTACTTATTTCTGTGCAACTTGCTCCTCTGTAACATACACTGTTGGGCTTTGCCATTGCACATAGAAGCACTTTTCTGCCATACATTCCCGAACTTGCTGCTGGGGCAGATTTCCTGCTTTTTGTTAGCTTATGAGTCCATCCTACCAAGGCCAGTGTTAAGTGGAAGGGTTTTGACTGCAGACCAAGTCAGCTTGTGTTCCTCGGTGGAACAAAGGGTCTTTAATTCTGTCAGCGTGTCATTTCTTTGCTTTTTAAGAGATTGTGAAGGTCGGAGAGGACTGGAAAAGCCTGTACCGAGGCAGAGGAGGACAGGTAAACACAGCGAGGAGCCCAGCATGGCGCTCATCTTTTCTAAAACCTCTGTGCACTAGTTTTAGCAACTAGTGTCTGAAGGAGAGTAATTTCCACCTTGCCTTCAAGAAAAAGGAGGTTGGAGAATAAAAGGAGAGAAAAAAAAATTGCCCTTTCACCCCACTTTGTAAATAGGGTTGAATTCTCGGCGCTTGATGTAGGTCCCAGAAAAGGGCATTTGTTATCTCCTGGTTCCTAACCCAGAGCCATAAAAATGCATGAATCTAGTGTGGAAATACCTTTTTTGTAAACTGGCGTGTTTTTCAGAAATTAGTAAATTTTACTTCTCCCCCTCTGAAGCCCAGGGCTCCCTGATTTCCCTGGGTCGGCTGGTGTTCCCCGGAAGGAGGCTGGGGAAAGTTCGGGAGCCTTTGAGGCGCAGCATGGCAGGTTTTCTTATGTGTAATGCTCCCCGAGGCCTTTTCAACCCCTGCCCGCT